AAGAACCTTCGGTCCATCAGTGGATCCGCTCTGCCATCCCTGATTCACAACAACCAATCTCTCCTATAGGTTTTCTATTTTAGAAACTTCCGCCACCGCCTTGTGCGGTACTACTGGTACCAAGGATCATACTGCAAGCACTAGTTATTATTCACCAAGCTGAAATAAGGCACTTGGGGGACCAACGTATCGCAAGTGGTTGTCAAGTGGTTATAACCTGGTCAGAACTGGGATGCAACTCCCATGACTGATACTGGGATGATACTCCCACCAGGGGTTGTTGGTGTTGTTTTCCATCTTTGACCCCCCAGTGGTCCAGTCATGAAGTTAGAACATTACTGTGTAGGACACTGCTAGATGATGCTTGATTCAAGAAGATATATCGGGCAGATAATTTCAAGATATGCAGCGTGACCCTCGCACAGTGTCATAAGGTACTTCCACAAGGCCCCTTATGGACTTATTGGGCGTCTACTTCATTCAAGCCAGTTCCAATTTACCCTTCTCCAGGATGGTTGAGACTGTCGTGGCTGGATCATGGAAGCTAGTGACCCAAAAGTACTAGTGAAACATCCAGTAAAACAAGTAATTACTATATTTGATTGAGGCATGTTGAAAAGTGAGGGATGCTTTATTGGGTTTACATGGTACATATATAATCACCATGGTACATATATCATCACCATAAAACCCATAGGAGTTAGTTCTCTATTAACTCAAAGGCCAACTGTCGACCATGACCGAGCTACATTCCCTTCCGTTGCCCTTCCTGTCCCGAAGGCATGGGCACGAAGAAATTGCGGAAAGCAGTCGCGGGGCCACAGGCGATGGAACAGGCCTGTAGCCGTGTCTGTGATGCATTCCCGCATTGGTTGGGGGGCAAATTTGCTGGATAGCAGCATACCTACCCAGGTGGAGGTTAGAAAAAGGTTTCCTGTATTTTTTGTTGCCTTAGTTCAATCCGTTAAAACTTTGATGTTAACCAATAAGCAGGAAATATGACCGACAAAAAATTGATTTCAATCAATAATCTCGCAACATTCATGGAGTAATGAGGTGTTTGAACGTGGATGCTGACAACAAAAACTATGTATGTGGCTCAAACCTCATGAAAGTTTCTGGTATAGGTCATAGGGCCATGTAGCCAAGCAGCAGGGCCTTGCGTTCGGTCCATAACCTGAGCTATGTCATAAACAAATACGTCTGGAATCCTGTGGGCATCTGGCGAAACATAAAACAAAGGCATTGATGGACACACACTGACACTGACACGCAGTAAACGTAACTCTTCAACTCTTCAACCATCCTGTAGGTTGGGATATTTTGAAGCCTTTGGCAGGAGTCGGAGAAGTACCGGCCTAACTGACCTAACTGGTTGGTGGACCGCCCATCCCGAACATATCAATGGTTTGAAATCATCAGGCCAGGAAAGCTGGATAAACCATGATAAAACAAATGAAACCAAGTGGATCGGCGACTCACTTGCGCACACAAAATTAGCCCACTTGTACACACAGATTTTGACTCAGTTGTACATACAAAAGCCTCAGTTATGACAATTGCCTCACTTGTACACACAACCTTGGGAGGTGGGGTGGGGCAAGGGAAGAAAAGGGCAGGATCTACCAGCCACACCCGTTGCTAAACTTCATTATAGGGGCACGACCGCTACTCGACTTCCTTCGACTTACCATCACAATTGAACGTTGGGGTGGGGTGGGGCTAGGGACAGAAAAAGTCTACCAGCCACATCCGTTGCTAAATTTCGAAAGCGATACCTCCTTGTCATCATGAACCTCATTATCTCCATCATTGCCGTTCTCGTCAATATAGTTCATTATTAATTTTCATTCTCATCCTCATTTTCATATTCGTTGTCATTTTTGTCATACGCATCATCGTCATCATCATCATCATCATCAGCATCATCCGCGTGCACAACTGAGTTGTTTCGCTTGCACAACCGAATGGGTTTTCGCGTGCAGAACCCAGGCACTTTCCAATAAGTGCAGTGAAACAATCCACCAGAACCAAACAAGCACCAAGTGCTTCCTTTTCCCACAGGTTGATGACGGTCAATCACCAAAGCAGAAGCTCCCAAAACAACATACGCAAGGACCAGGATGTACCTAAGCCCAATAAATCCCATTAAATCAATGGGACAGCTACCTTCATTCTGCATTGTTTTTGCCGGGGCTTCTCAGAGGGTCTGCCTCAACAGCCCAGCACGGTCGCTCTAGGCAAAGGCTGCAAAAGTTGCTTGTGGCCAACTTCATTCTGCATGGAAAGCAGAAAAAAAAACACATCTACATCACAGAAGTGTATTAAACGATATTGAATGATCTTCTTTCAACTGCCAAGAAGAAAAATAAAATGAAACCTGCCCCCACATGCGGGAAAACTCCAAGTGACATAACCTGTGATACCATCCTCCGGCACCACTGATGGGCCCACAAACTCCAGGCAATTGAATTGCGAGGCCACTTGAAAGGTTGCCTACAGGTGGAGTCATGGCGAAGCAAACGGAATTTTCAGGGTTCTTCCTCAGTGAGTCTACCTGTAGTTCCACTGAGTTCTGAAATGATAGCCATGGAAAAACCCCGGTGTCACTTGACTCACTTGACTTGGGACCGTCTGTTCTGCGCATTGATGCTGTGACACCCCACATGGTTTGACAAGACATCCCCAATCAGCTTTTTCCGACTGATTTCATCCCCATCTTGCCATGCAGAACTCTCGGTGTCACCCATTGAGGGCTTCAGCGCCCATTCCAACTTGTTTACAACATATCAAAAAACTATTTTGAATATATCAAAAACCCAATAAATAATTTATATGTATTACAGTATATGTATTACAGTATATGTATTACAGTATATGTATACACTATATATTTATGACATATGTTACATACTACTAAACACACATATATATATATATTTATTTATTTCTTTTTTTATTTGTTTAAATATGTTCCATTATATTTTGAAAATGTAAAAGTTTGTATTGTATAAATTATATTGTACAAATATGTACGCATAAAACATATACACATTACAATATACAAATATACTATGTTAGTTCAAAAATTACCTAAAATCTCGCTCTCTCTCTCTCTATATATATGTGTGTGTGTGTACTAAATAATCACAATACTCATCGTCCTTCAAAATAATAATAATAATGTTGATAATAAAAAACATATTAATAAGAGAAAAAACAAAAATAACAACAATGATAAAACAAAAATAGTGATAATAATAAAAGTAATAACAATTAATAATAATAAAATAAAAGTAAAATAATATCATTAATAATAAACATAATAATAATATATATATATAAATCAATCCACACACATATATACATATAGTCATATAGAGTATGTCATAATATGTTTATATGCAAACAAATCAGATACTCTTGAAAACCCCAAGTAAAACGCTGGGATTTATGGATGTTCACCTGTTCATCCCTCCAAAATGTGGTATAACAGGTGCTAAGCCATTCAATGTTTCATAAGTACATATATATAATTATATAAATTATATATATATGTATATGTATAAATTAATGCATAAAAGAAAATATCCACCAATATATCTGCATGTGTGCATATATACTTCTATTATATAATTATATTAAATAACTATATTGTATAATTATATTATATAATTATATATATATTCTTATATTATATTATATATATATGATGTAAAATGTATGGAATGTCGTAATCTACTCATCAAAGACGCGCAACCAGTCCCGACCTGATCCCCTGGTGCTGCCAAGCAACGAGCCTGTTCTCAGGCAGCGCATGTTTCAACGCAACATCGCCAATCCTTGGGGCGAAGGCTTGAAATTTTGGCAAAACAAACTCGTGGTTTCTCAGCGCTTCAAAAGGAACACCAGAAAATTGTATTATTATATATCTAGATTCACAACCTTTGCTCTTAGGGGGTATGTGGTACGTGGGTACGGTGGGGGTGGTACAGGGGTACGGTGCT